CAAGTGGTGTCTTGGACCAATTACTTTTGGCATACCACACGCCTGCAGCTAATACTTGAGCTGAGTGATCTAGTTATCTACTTTGGTGGCTGCTAACAGCATCATGGCCTATTGAATTACTGCAGTCAGGGATCACTGCCATTCAGAAGACTTTGACATGGGAGGCACTCCACTGTTGGATCTACATGTGCTGTGTTCTAGTCATTGACATAAGTGGCAATTTCCCTTTACCTGTCAGTGTAGCCCCCATGCTTAGATAAATACACGAAGATCATCATTGGTCTTTGAATAACACTTTCTGCCTTGCCTTTCACAAAAAAAAAAATTACTCCTAGGCTTTTGACATACTTTATACACTACTGGGGGCTATGGTATTCCAAATATGGTTTATTGGAAGAAAATAAAAACTGGGGCGGGAAATTGCTCAACGGGTGGAGCTCATGCTTTGCATGCAGGAAGCCCAGGTTCAATCTCCAGCACCACATAGTTTCCCCAGCACCACTGGGAATGACCCTGAGCACAGTGAGATGTAGCCCCTGAGTACAGTCAGGTGTGCTGAACCCCTCTTCCAAAATAAAAATAGAGGGGCCAGAATGATAGTAGGGTGTTTGCCTTGCAAACGGCTGACCTGGATACAATCCCCACCATCTCATATGGACCCCCAATCACAACCAGGAATGATTCCTGAAAGCAAGGGCCTCTGATCTACTGCCGGGTGTAGCCCCAAAACAAAACTAAAAAAAATTAAAATAGATATGACAAAGAAGACTTAGGTTAAAGATCTCTGCTTCTCCATTTACATGCTGTGAACTTTAAAATATTTCTCAACACGCAGTTTATATTGTATATAAAACTGAAAGTAACAGTCCCTATTTATATCATACAGTCCCTATTTATATCATAGGATCATAGGATTTATATCACAGTCCCTATTTATATCATAGGACTATCTAACTTATCAAAACTATCTAAATTATCAAAACTATCTAACTTATCAAAATAGCTATGTAGTCCTAAGAAAAGTACATACTAAACCCAAGCTTGAAACTCATTTATCACAAAATGGTATCTCAACACCACTTGCAACAGACACTGATGATGAACTTCTAGAAAGTAAATATACAGAGGTGTTCTCAACCTTTCCCTACATTGTTTTAAAAGTTTTTAGTGGGCTGGAGCCATAGTACAGAAAGTAGGATGCTTACTTTGCATATGATTGAGCCAGATTCTATCCACAGAATCCCTTAATGTCCCCTGAGCCACACCAGGGCTGATCCCTGAGCGCAGAGCAAGGAGTAAGATCTGAGCACTGGTGGGTGTGATCCAAAGCCCAAAAAATCAGTTTTAGAAATTATTTCATGTCACGTAAAGGTTCTTCTCCCATATATTTATAATTTCTTCAAAATCAAATTTACAAAAATTACCTCAATTTAAATTTTATTTTTAACCTAAACTGCATGATTTTCCAGATTTCGTGATTTGTCAGATTTCATGATTTCCTGGCTCCTAAATTAATGAGGTTAATATGTCTTTGTGATTTCCTCTGCTGGTCCTTTGTATGAGACATTGAGCTGTATTTCTGAGAATCTTTGCCAAGCCCAGTAAAAACTTCATTGTACATTGCCAGAGTAGAAAAACATGAGCTCACAGTAGCATCTTTTTGTTCCCACTAACCATGTCAGCAATTTACAAGTGTAACCAGGCAAAGTGAATAAAGCTCCTCGAGTAAGGTAAGGTAAAGGTAAAGGCCCTCCCGTTGATCGTCGATTTGCTCGAGCGGGCCCAGTAACGTCTCCATCGGAGACTTTGTTGTTACTGTGTCTGGCATATCTAATACTCTCGGTAGCTTGCCGGGCTCTCCGAGAGGGGCGGAGGAATCGAACTCGGGTCGGCCATGTTGGCTGCGTGCAAGGTGAACGCCCTACCGCTGTGCTATCGCTCGAGTAAATGAGGACAAAATCTTTCAAAATTCAGGGTACTACTAATGCTTTTACAGTGGTCAACACAAAAAGTGCTATTACAAGTATCTGTATTTTTATAAAAGTACCTTCTTTTGAAAAAATCCTTTATCTTCAGATTAGAGACATTCCCATCTGTGCAGATTACATGATCATGCCCTGTCTCTAACAGCATGTAAAGTATATTTGCTGAAGCACCTTTTTTTGGTTTTTGGTTTTGGGCCACACCTAGCAGTGCTTAGGGCTTACTCCTGGGCTCTGCATTCAGGGATCACAACTGGCAAGCTTGAGGGACTTTATGGGATGCCGAGATCAAGCCTGGGTCAGCCAAGTACAATGTAAGCACCCTACCAACTGTAGTACTGCTCTGGTTCTCTGAGCATCTCTTAAAATGTAAGTACCTAACGAGCTACTTACTGGTGATATGTTGATAATTCTGCAAAGGAAAAGAAACAAGACATGTGTTGCCCTGTCTCACTGCAGCTTTCTTCTCCATATAGCCAGAAAATCAGGAAGAGTATCCAAATCCACTGAACTCTTGAAATTAGTTTAGAACATAACCATGATGAACTTCCATTTGTTGACAGCTGACTTGGGGTTAGGACATGATATGAACTAGTCCTACAGCTTTAATTATAATTAAAAATGCAGTGACTAGGTGGCTGGTGAAATAGTACAGAGATAAGGGCTCTTGCCTTGCACACAACTGACTGAGGTTCAATCCCTGGCATCTAATATGGTTCCCTGACTGCTCCAGGAATTATTGCTGAGTGCAGAGCCAGGAGTAAGCCCTGAGCATAGCCAGGTATGGCCCCAAAATAAAAAATACAGGGGTTGGAGAAAGTGTAGCAGGTAGGGTAACAGCCTTGCACACAACTAACCTGGGTTTGGTCCCCATCACCTCATATGGTTCCCTAACCCACTTCAGGAATGATCCCTAAGTGCAGAGGCAGGATTAATCTCCACTGCACCCCTGAGTGTGGCCCCAAACAACAAAATTGTGTTTCATTTTTAAAATAAATTCCAAGTGATCAGAGATTGGTTTATTTTGTGACATCTGGGTAAGAACCAGAATCTCTAAGGCCAATTATCTCTAAAAGAAGCTCTGGAGAAAACAGGTAAAACAAGGTTTAGAAACAAATTTTCCATGACAAATCCACATTGAGCTACCTTTCAGGGCTCATATGAAAGTGGGGGAAGAAAGGAAAACATGAGTCTTGCCCTGCTGTCTTTAGGAACATGTGATCAAATAATCTCCTAAACTTGGGGGAGGGCAACCACTCAGTGAACATATGGTGCCAAGGATCAAACTTAGCACTCAGCATACAGAGCATGTATGCTAGTCCTTTGAGTCATGTTCCCAGAGCCCTACTACCCCCCATCTCCTATTAAATGTTAAACAGAATCAATAGAGCCACATATACTCAATATATCACTGCTCTCTTGTATTATACTTTGAGCTCTCAACAGATTTACATATGTAGTAATATATTATGCAAACCACGGATTCCTAGAAGTGCAGAGTGTATTTCTCCTTCCCTCAGAGAAGTTTCAGACAGGTCTAGGATCTGATCTAGGTAATAGAGGCAGAATATGAATTCAGGGTCTCATTCTATTTCCAGTACTCTTCTTGCTACATTACACAACACCAAGTCTTCCTCTGGGGTCCTTTATAGCATCTGACTTCATGATCTATGCCAATTAGGATTTTTTACAAATTAAGTGCTGTAGCTGGTTAATATTAACAATGAAATGACCTTAAGTTTGTCTATTGTCCACTGCCCATAAACGGTTTCATAAGACTGGAAAACCAAAAGAACATCAACTAAGGGTTCTTAACACCTGGCTTTAAGCATTTTAGGGGAAAGTTAAAGCATTCACAAATAAACCTCACAGATGAAATTTTTCACTACTCTCATTGGTTGGTAGAATCATTTTTATTTGTGCTATTAACAACAAGGCTTATAAATGGATAGACATGGAGAGTATCATGCTAAGTGAAATGAGTCAGAAAGAGAGGGGCAGACAGAGAAGGACTGCACTCATTTGTGTAGTATAAAACAACATAACATGAGGCTGACACCTAAGGACAGTAGATACACGGAACAGATAGATTGCTCCATATCTGGAAGCCTGCCTCATGAGCAAAGGGGAGAAGGCAGCTGGAATAGAGAAGGAATCGCTAAGAAAAAGATGGCTGGAGAAATCGGTCGGGATAGGAGATGTGTGCAGAAAGTGGATAAAGGACCAAACATGATAACCTCTCAGTGTATGTGTTGCAAACCATAATGCCCCAAAGTAGAGAGACATTATGGGGAATCATGTCTGCTGTGGAGGCAGGGGGAGGGTGAGAGAGGGGGGGTTTACCAGGGATATTGGTGGTGGGGAATGTGCACTGGTGGAGAGATGGGTGTTTGATCATTGTGTGATTGTAACCCAAACATGAAAGCTTGTAACTATCTCAGGGTGATTCAATAAAATTTTAAAAAAACAGTGGAAGCACATGGGTACCTTTGATATGAGTTAGAAAGTAGCTTAGATTAGGATAGGTTCCCACAGTATTGAGATTAACCCTTTCTCTCCCTGCACTGAGAGATACTCAGAAGAAAAAGTGGCAGGGATATTGGAAAGGGATCCCTCAGCCAGTGATGCTGAGGGGCCTACATTCAGGAGTCACTCCTGGCGATGCTCAAGGGACCGCCATATGGGATGATGGTGAACAAACCCAAGTCGACTGTGTGCAAGTCAATTGTCCTAGCCACTGTACTATCTCTCCAGCCCCATGGGGTAAAATTTTAGAAAGACCAATGTTATCGAAGGATTATATTGGTCTCTTCTGTACTTCACTACTTTAGAAAGAAAACTTCCTAACACTGATCATAAATAGAATTTAGGTGTTCAGAAACACACACACACATACAAAGAAACACACACATGTGTAAACACACACACACACACACCTGAATTGAATATCTAATTTCTTGGGTGCAGCAGATTAATTGGGATTAAGTCTAAATTGTTTAAAAGTAAAAGGAAACTTACTCCTCCCCATGTTTTCTTGTGGTCTCTGACAGGTCACTGGATGATGATCACCTGTACAAAACACAATACCGATACACAGTCAGATTCACAGAGGTTGAGTCTCTAAAAAAAAGTCACACTAAATCTGATTCAGTCAACATGAGCACTTCCTTTCAGTGCAGCCCAATCTTTTCCCCTTACATAAGTATTTTCTCCATCACAAAAAGTCTAAATGTGTAGGACAGAGATATAGTATTATGGAAATTTGGGTTCCTTATCAATTGTTATGTCCTTGTTTACTTGGCATTAGTTTCTGCCCATGCCTAATAAAAATCCTCAGATCACCATCTTTTTTTAAATTTTTTTTTTAATTTTTATTAGTGAAACACCATGAGGTACAGTTGTATTTTTTTTTTTTTTTGCTTTTTGGGTGACACCTGGCAATGCACAGGGGTTACTTCTGGCTCTGCACTCAGGAGTTACTCCTGGCGGTGCTCAGGGGACCATATGGGATGCTGGGAATCAAACCCAGGTCGGCCGTGTGCAAGGCAAACGCCCTACCCGCTGTGCTATCTCTCCAGCCCCGAGGTACAGTTGCAGACTTACAAATTTTTGTGCTTGGGTTTCAGTTATACAATCATCGAGTACCCATCCCTCCACCAGTGCCCATTCTCCACCATCAATGATCCTAGTATCCCTCCCACCTCTATCCCCCCATTCCACCCTGCCTCTGTGGCAGGGCATTCCCTTTTGTTCTCTCTCTCCTTTTGAGATCACCATCTTTTACAGGGAGAGATAACTGAAAAACTGGTAGACAAAAATGCCAAAATACTTCATTTTAATAACCAAGCTAGGTTTGCCTACCCTGGTATCTCCAATACCATTCTGTGACAATTCTGATATCCCCTGGAGTATAACATTTTCCTGAAAGGCATCGTACAACATTTCCCTAATCAAATTACCCCTGAGGCAAAAAAAGTCTCCACCAGAGGCTTCCAAAACCATGAGGTCTACTACCCATGTTTTTTAAGCAGTTAAAAAAAATTAGTGTGTGTGTGGGGGGGGGGCAGAGAGTTCAGCGTATAGGGTGTTTACCTTACACGTAGCTGACCTGAGTTTGATCCCCAGCATCCCATACAGTCCCCTGAGCCTTGCCAGAAGTGATCCCTGAGCACACAGCCAGGAGTAAGCCCTAAGAACCACGGGATGTGGCTCCAAAACAAAGCAAAAAAGAATTGGTCTCTTAGTTCTATCATGTAGTGGTTAGTACTCTGAAATTACATACAGAAGGAGAAAGACAAGTACTGGATGATCTCACTCATTTGTGGTATGAGAGGAAACACAATGAGAGAACAGATAATATGAATTGACAACAAATTCTTGGTACTGAAATGCAGACTAAAAACTCCAAATTTTCTTGGGAGGTTGTGGGAGAAAAGGTGAGCTGGATGTGGCATAGGTGCATGGGTCACAGGGTCTTGGGCTCTTTGGTGATGGTTACTGTACACCAAGACCATAAATGTCAAAACCAGTGTAATCATACTGCCTTGGACTATAATAATTTTTTAATAAAAAAGTGAGCCAGAGAGATTATACTTGAATTAAGGTACCAGGTTAAATCCCTGGTATCACATATTCACAAGAGTATCTTCAGGGTGGAGCGATAGCACAGCGGGTAGGGCGTCAGCCTTACAAGCGGCCAACATGGCCGACCCGAATTCGATTCCTCCGCCCCTCTCGGAGAGCCCGGCAAGCTACCGAGAGTATTCGATATGCCAGACACAGTAACAACAAAGTCTCCAATGGAGACGTTACTGGGCCCGCTCGAGCAAATCGACGATCAACGGGAGGGCCTTTACCTTTACCTTTATCTTCAGGGTACCTGAGTAATTCCCAGTGATAATTGCTAGCACTGCATCCTTGGCTCCTCACACTGAACCATCAGTCAGGGTCCCTGGTTGAGGGGTTCCCAGAGTTCTGCCAGGAAACTCTCTCAAAAATATTTTCTTAATTTGAAAAAAATTTAAAAGGAAGGATTAAGAGGACAGATATACTCTGACCACAATGCTGCTCATTTTTGCCACACAGTGCAACACTGTGCTCTCCTGGACCTACCTAAAACTTTTATCATGTACATTAAAAGTCCAGAGTAAATACTGGGCAACTCTAGTATATGAGGCATTTCCTAGGAAGCATCTCACTCTTGCCTCACAGAATCAGTGAAGGAACCCTTGGGACTTGACAAGGGAAGGAAATCACAGAGATAGAAACAGAGCAGGGCGTAGAGCAACCCTTGCTCTCTTGTTGGCACGCAGCCCAGGCCACACCACAGCAGAGATTCCAGTCAGTAGCTTTAGCCATCTGCAAGGCCAAGCCAATGACCCGATCTGGGTAGGGAGCTTATTTGGCAGATCTGCCTGATCTGGATAAGCAGTCAATGGGCCATGCTGGCAGTGAAATCTATTCCACCATCCCACCCAGGAAGAGAAAGAAATTCCAGGCAAAATCCAACTGTTGAGCAGAGCATAGAGAGCCACATAACTAGGAGCCCAGACAGTATCCCAAGGCAAAATGGGAGTACATCTAAAGAGAAGCAGAGCTCGCCTCTAACCCCACCAAGTCATGGAACCCGAACCCCAACCCTAACCCCAACCCTAAACAGGCTAGAGTCATATCTAGGCGGGAAGCCAGCCAGTAACCCCACCCAGTCAAAAGCATGGATTGTGGCTCCACTTGACAAGGAGGCCCACCTAGGGCCCTTGCCAAAGAGTGGTCAGTAGCCTGAAAAGTTCAACAAAGAAATATAAATCATATGAATAGGGGCTAAAGAGTACAGTGAGTAGCAAGGGCGCTAGCCTTGCAAATGGCTGGCTCGGGTTCAATCCCACACATCCCATGTAGTGCCTTTAGTCCCATAGGAGTGATCCCTAAGCACAGAGCCAGGAGTAAGCCCTGAGTACAACCAGGTGAGGCTCCCAAACAAAAAATTATACAAATAGGGCTGAAGAGACAGCAAGTGGGTAGAGTGCTAGCCTAGCCTTGCATGTGGCCAAGTCAGGTTCAATCCATGGCAGGACATATGGTCCCTGAGTCCCATCAGGAGTGATCCCACCACACATAAATAAGCTCTGAACATAGCTAGGTGTGACCCAAAACCAAACAAAAATTGTTTTTAATTAAAAATAATGAAACAAGATAAACCCCAGAAATCTCAGAACTGAAGAACACAGAGATTGAAGAATTCAGCAGAATAAAACTGCAATAGCATTTTAAGTTCTTATATGCCAATAATTATATTGTCTCCAGTGTCATCAATTGGTTCTTGAAAACTGATTTTTAAGCAATACAAGGTGCAGGGAAACCAATTTTACTGAGGACTAATTGGTGTAGGAAGTTCCTATGACAATTAGTCACCACAAAAATATTACCCAACTTCAAAATACCCAAATACTTCTCATATTAGACAATAATTTGCAATCATTCATTTTCCAACCTGCTTATTCCAGTTCAGTGGGTGGTTGGAGTCTGACAGCTTAGCGCGCAGACTGGGAAACAAACCATGACGTATACATTCAAGCATTTTCTTTCTCTCTCTCCCCCACCCACTAATAGGACAATTGATACAGACTAATAAACTTGATGTGCACATATTAAGGATGTGAAAGGAAACTGGAACACCTAGAGAAAGCCCAAACAGTTAACAGGAGGAAAATGAAAACTCAACAGTACTTTTCTTGGGTGGGAACTAATTTTTTCCTCATCCACAATATAAAATGTATTTGAGGAACTGTAGTACTTGAAACATAAAAAAGGCACAGCATTGATAAAGAAAAGTCACAGGGGGTGCTGAGAGATAATATAGGTATTAATGGGGATTAATGTGTTTGCCATGCATCCTTCAAACTTCAGTTTGAATCTCTGGCAACATATATGGTCCTCTGAGCACTGCCATGGGTCACTCCTGAGCACAGAGCCAGGAATAACCTCTGAACACTGCCATGCATCACTTCTGATCACAGATCCAGGAATAACTTCTGAGTACTACCAGTGGAATACTCCTAAGCACAGAGATAGGAATAGCCCCTAAGCACACCCAGGTATGTCCCCTACAAAAGATAAGAGTATGCTATCTAGAAAATATTCCTGTTTTAAAGACACCGAATGGAAGGATGGGGTGCTGCTCCTAATAGGCTACAGTATATAACCTAGGTATGTAGTAAACTATATAATTTAGATTTCTGTAAGTAAACTCCATAATGCACACATAATAAAGTGCCTAGTGATACATTTATCAGAACATACCCTTCATTAAGGTATGAGTGGCATGACTATAGATTTTAAACTGAAAATGGTCATAAAAGATAATTATAAAGGGATCAATTAATCTATTTATCTAGTTGTAAATATATATAAGTATACACTTATACCCAATATAGTCTTAAAGAACAAAGTTGAATGCATCAAACTTTCTAATTTCAAACCATAAAACAAAGGTATGGTACTTGCATATAAACAAATAGGGTGTCAAGAGATAATATAGCAATGAAAATGCATGATTAGCACACACCCAATCCAATTTTAATTCCTAGCACCACATGATCTCTGAGCATCACTAGTTGCAGCCTTGGAGGTCCCCTGAGCACCACTGGGGTGACCCAGGTATCTTGGGCACTGCAGAGCCTAAACAGCATCTAATTAATTCTCTAGCCAGCTAGAGAACTGTAAGCAGGTTGACTGCCTGTGGGGCGCCAGGCTTCTTGAGCACCACTTGGGATCCCCCACCCACCTCCCCCCCCCCAAAATAGGCAAACAGACCAAAAGAACATAGTCTGGGAGCAAGAAATAAACCTATCATGTAGGGTCAACTGATATTTGATAAAGTTGCCAAGAATGCTCATTGGAAAAAAACAAGAGTTTCTTAAATAAATGGTGCTGGGGAAAGAAGATATATCCAAAATATTGAAATTGTATCTTACACCACTGATAAAAAATGTTAACTCAGAATTAAAGACTGAAATTTGGAACCTGAAACCATAAAACTTCTAAAATGAAACGAAAAAGTCTTTTATTCC